GAAAGATTTACACAATGCCAAGGTATGTAATAAAAAAGAGGAGAAAATTTAAACTTGCACTGAAGTAGACAGCATGAGAAACAATACAATTTATGTTACAGTTGAAAAAAAAAATAGTCCTGTGCCTTGTGACTTGTTTAATTGATATACATATCCAGTAACACATAGATAAAGAAAGACATAAGGGCCTCACCTTACAGCAGTTGAATGGGAGTCTCTGGGATGGGGCCTGGCTATTGTGGTTTTTTTTCAGTTCCAAGTAGCTCTGAAGCTAAGCCAGGATTGAGATCCATGGGGCTAGGCACTGGACTACTCTGTGAATTCTTACATCTATGAGATAGGTGATAAAATCATAAGAAGCTGGCAGGATTTGTGGCTTGGAGAGATGATGCACCTTGGCTATGCAACCAGTAAATGGTGGATAAAGCTCACATACATCTATAGTAGACCTAGAGAAAAATCGCTTTTTGTACCTTAAAAAAATTTTAAGGAGAAATTTTGAGTTGCCTTAAGTATCTGAGCTCATGAAAAGAAACCTTATCAAAATCTAATTGAAGATATGTTAACCCAGATTCTTCTATTCTAAAACCTTTTTATTTTCCTAATTTTTCTCTGAGAATAAGTGCTTTTATTGATTTTCAAGGCAATTAGGATGCCATTAACTGTTTTAAAAAATAAGCAAACCAACTATTGCACCCTAATAATCTGAACAATATAGTAATCTGTAAAAATGATGTTCTAAAATCAGAGTAAATCTAATAGTTGCAGAAGATTAAATACTTTTCATATATTCTGGCAAAACTCTGGATTAATCATATTGGATTGCAGGGATGTTATCCACTATAGCTTAGAAAGTTTAGAGTTTCTGGTGCCTGTTTTATAGAATATTAATTTAGCAAGAAAAATATATTAAAGTGTCACAAATTACCTTGTCACCTTTGTGGAACTATATAAAATATATAATCTTCATAGCCCTCTGTTTAATATTTGGACACAGAACCAAGTAATGGACTCCTTTCCCTTCCCAGCATGCCCTGTACCTGTCCTGACCTGGCCTTTCCATATCTGAGACTCTTCCACGGGAATCTGCTCTTTATCCTCAAATCTCAAAGCGAGCTGCCCCTAGCACATTAACTATCATTCTTGGTTTCTGTGTCTCCCTCTATCCCCAGACTGTGACTTGTTTCAGCTCCAGCTCCTTGCCTATAAGAAGGAAGATGGATTTGATAAAATCTCAACTTGGGTGGGTGTGGAAATGAGAACTGTAGAGTCACAGATTTTAGAGTTTAGGATGGTCTTTATGGGTCACCTTGTCCAGTTGTTCTTGGTGTTTTTAATATCTTAACATCCCCAAGAAGCATTGGCCCACTCTGTTCCATATTAGAATTCCCTGGTCGGGGTGTGGTTCTCATGACCACATCTCCGCGTCCTCTCTCCAGGGACCCAAGTGAGCTTTGCTCAGACCTTTCTTCTGCAGCAGCCACCTGAGGATGTTGGCCCTGCCACTTACAGGGGGTGATGATGATACCCCAGTCTTCTTCTTCCCTCAAGACCTCCCGCAACTGTGGTCCTGCTGGGAGCAAGTCCTAAGTGACCTCTGCCTCCCTCATCTGTCAGCCAGCCCCATGGCTGAGGGAGAGGGAGGCATGCTGTGTCCTGCCTCCGGGTATGACTGTAGGTATCAGCTATCAGCTACTGCTGCTCTAGTCAGACTCAAGTTGACCTATAGGTTCTGAAATATCAGGAAATATCTATTCCTTTTTACCTTTTTATAGAACTATAGATTTTTATAGAACTATAATAGGAGAAAATCTGCATATAGATCTATATGTAGATCCTAATATAGAATGGATATTCAGATACTATTGATAACTGTGTTTTTGTAGTGCTTTATATTTTTTATCTACTGAGTTGTTATAACGATATAAATGAAATAATGTATATAAGAACAAGTTTTGATCATCTCCATTTGGCAAATAAAAAACATTGAGGCTTGAGAAGTCTAAAGTCATGTAACTCATAGGAGCCATAAACCCCAAAACCGAGTGAGTACCAACTCCAACCCCAAATCCTGTGCTTACCTTGCAGCACCTCCTCTCCTTTCCGTGTGCCCACATTCCAGGCCATCTCTATTTTAGAATGTCAGTTCCCTGAGAACAGGGCCATCATGGCAGCTGCTTATTTTGTCTCCTTCTTGATGTTAACGATGGATCGACGTACACAACCAGGAAAATTTACATAGCATCTTAATAAACAGCAACAATTATGTAGAAACTTTGTGTGTTTTACCCTCTTGGATTAGAGAAATATTTCAACCCAGCATTAGTCAATATTTTATTTTCATTTGCATTTATCCCATACCAGTTGGACCTCCTCTGCCAGCGTGGCTTACTTTGGCCATGCTGTTTTGCCTCCTTTGCATACTCAGTCTTAAAATATGGCCCTGGCTTGAGACTTGTAAGAATTTGTAGAATGAGCCAAACTAATTAAAACAATACTTAGTGGGTGAATTTATTAAGGTTAACCATAGCTTCCATGTCCTGCTAACTTTGATAGTCATTCTTTAACTTAGGTATTTTAAAGTAGGAAGGACTATAGTTCTAAATGAACTCTTTGTGTGTGGACTAAGAAAAAAAAATCTATTCAATGTATATTTTCACTTTGTAATTTTACATTTATATATACATAAATACACACAGACACACATATGCATGTTTTATTTCTTTCTACAAAATTTATTCCCCAGAAGTTTTATAACCAGTTGTTCACTTTGAATGTTACATTGCATGTGTTTATTTATCTTTAGTGATGGCATGTTGGACCATGCTGTGGCCTCAGGACCTAGTTTTTCTGCATATGCAAATTGTACTTGGCAGAGAGTGTTGAGGAGATCAGTTGACCTTGAGAGTTTTGTCAAACTGGTCTAGAACATAAGCTTATATAGACTGAGAGTTAAGTAGCCCATCAGTGAAGGGTATTCATAGCAAACTGTGTGACTTCAATACCCTTGGGGTTTGGGAATCACATCTGAGGAGAGAACCACATCTCACCAATGGGCCATCTGGCCTCTGTGGTAGGAATTGAGGGAGAGAAGAAAGCAGAAGGAAATCACAGCGTATTGCTAAACGATTTGAAACAGAAATTTTAAAAAACTTTTAGTCGGCTGGTCTTGAAACATTGAATTGAATATCGTAAGTAGGAGATAACCAAGAACTAGAAGAAAATATTGTCGATCCTCCAGGAAATAATTAAAGACTTACTAATTGTGGAAATAAGAGACTTACACTCAAGAGTGCAGTAGTCTTGCAAAGTTTGTGGTGAGTCGTACAGTTTAGGTGAGTTACATGCATTCAGGGGATAGAAATTTCCCATAGATTACAATGGTCAGGGAGAGCTTATTGACCAGACAGGCCTTGAGCTGCCTCTACAGAACGAGTAGCATTTCGATGGGTGGTGATGAAGAGAGATGAGCACACCAGAGAGGGCAGCATGACTGCAGAAATGAAGACCAGGAAAGAGGGGTGTGCTTGGAAGGTGGAGAAGAGAATTTTTTGGGTATGTTGAATGAGTCATTACGTTATTTCTTAACTCAAATATCATTTCAGCCCTGAGCTCCAAGTAGTATGGTGTAGGCAATATAGTGTCAACTTTAAAAATACTTTGGAGTCAGTGAGATGTACATTTGACCATTAGGCAACTTGCTTAACCTCTCCAAACCTTATCATCCCTTCTTAGAGGTGTTGAAACAAATATATACTTCTTAGGATTATCATGATGTCTAAAAGGAGGGGAAGGGACTCTGTCTTTACTATTTCCTGGTGTATCTTCACTTTTTATTGTAGAACTTGTCACATATGAGTCACTTGCAGAAGTGTATATGGTTCCCTAGCCTAGTGACCATGAAACTATTGCTGTTATGGTGGTTTTTGTTTTTCACAAAACAAACACAATAAGATAGATACAAGTATGTTTGGAATATGTTGTATTTAAAAGTTGGATAAAACAGATTTCTTTACTCCAAGACTTAGATTCTTTAACATGCTGATTCACTTTTCAAATCTTCAAGAGGTGAATATGGAGTGAGGGCTTTTCAACCAGATAAGTTTACAGATAAGGTTATAGAGCCCTTTTATTATTGCACCCCTTGTAGGACAGTTAGTCTATGGAATGTGATTTAGGTGGGCCCTTAGAGAAATCCTTCCCAAGTTAAGTGCCTGGAGCTCATTGATGAAAATACCAACAGCATGGATGAAATGAGGTGAGTGGGGGCAAATGATGTTTGGCTTTTGGTGAATTGGGCTTTGTAATAAAAGATGCTCATCAGGCAGTTGTAAAATGGAGCAAGCTAATCTTGCTGACTGAGCATGCCCAGGGTGACTGCTGAATAGGAATTAAACCCTAGATACTGGACAAGGGAATGAGAGATTGATGTACCCTGGCTGACAGAAAAGAACTCCTGGAACATCTCTTGTGAGTCCTCTATCCCAAGAGGCTAAGATAAATGAAGTTTGTTTGTTTGTTTGTTTGTTTTAAAAAGTACCCCTCACCCTCTACCTGCCAAAGATAACCTGAAGTGAAGGAATAAGTATAAAGCTAAGGTCAGTTTAAAAGAAGGAAACAATTAATAAGGCACAGTGGAGAAAAGTTCCAAAGAAAAATTGAACATGGAGAAATTAGATGTTGGGATGCTCAGAAACTGCACATATAAGACATAATCTACCTGACAAGAAGTGGGGCCCACCTTGGTCTCAGTTATACTTTATGTAACATTGACTAAGAGTACAGAATACTCTCTCTTGGCCTCCCCAGGGTGACCTCTGATTCTAGACCTTCAGCTCCAGAAACCATAAGGTGGCAAATGATTGCAAAAATTCCAGCAGCAAAATATAAGAAAATGTGGGAGGCAGTTATAAGCCTCACATTAGTGTTTTTGTATAACAACCAAAGTTGTGCCCAGGTGGTCCTGAACCTGGAGTAGAACTGTGTTCCTGAGGCTGACATTCCCAGGTACTCCTACCTCACCCCTAGGTGCCCAGGACTTAGCGCCTGTCACAGGGACACAGGTATTCATTTTATTTTATTTTATATTTTATTTTATTATCTTATTATTTTTCAGCTTTATTGAGGTATAATTGACAAAGTTGTCAAATAAAAAGATATTTAAGGTGTGCAATGTGATGATTATGATTTGATATATGGATACATTGAGTTAACATATCCATTACTTCATATTTATTTTCTCTTTCTCTTTTTGTGAGAACATCTAAGTTCTGCTCTTTTAGCAAGTTTCAATTACACAATACAGTCCTATCAACTATAGTCACCATGTCTTACATTAGATTCTCAGACCTTATTCATCTTATAACCAAAAGTTTGTACCTGTTTACCAACCTTTCCCTATTTCCCTTACCCACCCACCCCCCTTAGCCCCTGGCAACCACTTTTCTACTCTGTTTCTATGAGTTTGACCTTTTTTTAGATTCTGTAGAGCCTATTTCACCTAGCATAATGCCCTCCAGTGGTAAGTGACAGGATTTCCTTCTTTTTGATGGCTTAATAATATTTCATTATACTATACCACATTATTTTGATCCATTCATTCATTGACAGGCATTTAAGTTGTTTCCACATCTTGGCTATCATGAATAATGCTGCAGTGAACATGAGAGTACAGATATCTCTTCAAAACACTGATTTCATTTCCTTTGGATATGTACCCAGAAGTGGGATTTCTGGATCGTACAGTAGTTCTATTTTTAATTTCTTTAGGAACCTCCATGCTGTTTTCCACAGTGGTCGTACCAGTTTACATTCCCACCAGCGGTGTACAGGGTTCCCTTTTCTCCACATCCTTGCCAGCCTTTGTTCTCGCTTGTCTTTTTGGTGATGGCCATCCTAAGAGGTGTGAGGTGACATCCTATTGTGGTTTGGATTTGCATTTCCCTGATGATTAGTGATATTGACCATCTTTTCATGTACCTGTTGGTCATTTGTATGTTTTCTTTGGAGAAATATCTATTTAGGCCCTTTACCCATTTTTAAATTGAGTTGTATGAGTTCTGTGTATACTTTGGATATCAACCCCTTATCAAATTATCAAATGTGATTTACAGATATTTTCTCCCATTCCATAGGCTGCCTTTTCATTTATTGATGATTTACTTCACTGAGCAGAAGCTTTTCAGTTTGATGTGGTACCACTTGTTTAGTCTCTCTTTTGTTGTCAGACATTTGAAATAGAGCCTCCAAACTGAAGATGCAGAACAATACTTGTGCAGATGGAAATCTTCCTGATCCAAGACTAGCTCTCCCTTGTATTAGCTGTAATTGAGGTCCTGCTTTTAAGCACCTAATGTAGTTTAAACACTATGATTGGTGGCCCTCACTCTCTAAGGATACCATGGCTGAGTAAGGAAAGCAAAATGGATGTCATTCAGGAGGCTTATTGGGTGGTTTACTCAATTTCATAACAATTTATAAAATGCCTAGTCTAAGGGCTAACCTTGCAAGGCCTAATACTGAAGCAAGGGCTAAAACAGAAGAGAGAAGATTCTGAGCCAAGATGGCTGTGTGAATCTCTTCTTCACCTGTCACCCTATAAGGATGGGGCTATTACCTAAATTAATGCCAAGAAGCTGGATATGAACTCTGACCCTGTGCTCCTTCAGTTGTGGTCCACAACCTTCTGGTCTATGAACTCATAAGAATAGAAAGTGAGAGGAAGCGTTTAGAAATTTTTATAGCAATTTGATATTGCTGTGACATTTTATTGTATTTTATAAAATTATTGGTTCACCATGGATTAGGAGGGAAAATGCTGATCCTTCACCACAGAGCATTTGAGCAGCACTGCTCTAACTTGAATGTTTCTAAGCCTCTCTGGCGTTTGATTTCCAATGAGGTCACATCCGCACACAAATTCACGTGTCACTGATTCTTCCTCACTTTGCATTCACATGGGACCTTTCCTTCCCACAATTCTGTGCAATCTGCTTGCCTGGGGTCCTCTAGAGATGTCTCATGTTGTTGGTTCAAGAGCCAACCTCTCCCCAACAGGTGTCTGCAGATAAACACTCCATCGAGTACCTGCAGCCACCATCAGTCTAGGACATCTCTGTTCTCCCAGGGGAGGGCACTGTCTCCTGTACTCTCAATGCACACAGTCTGCTTCCCCTTCCTGTGCCGAAGCCCAGCTGGGTGCTACACGCACTGATATTGCCTTCCTTCTCTAGGGATCGGTTAGACACACAGTCCCGGCGGGGGATGTGGAGCCCATCTCATCTGGCTTCAGTAGCAACTCACACCCATAAGTAGCCCCTCACAGCCCAATTACAAGCTAAGGCTAACTAGTAGCCCCATATGTAACCATGTTTTTTCCTGAGTTTCCATGAGTATATAAAGATCATTTGGTGAATCAGCAGCCTTCATATATTTTATACTTACACGTTTTAATCTTCACTTAGGTTCCATGAAGCCCCTTTCCTCTCGTGACCTGAGAGCTGTGACCAATGACGAGGACAGTGCAGGAAACAGAACTATAACTTTTATGGTTATAAGTTCCCCTAGACTTGGGAAGCTGATGCGAGTAAATCCTGACAACAGCACCGAGCATGTTTCCGTGTTTACGCAGGATCTGGTGAGTCTTGACGTCTGTCTGTGCAGCTGGGCAGTGCTGAGTGCCTCTGCAGGGCAGCCCTCGTTCATCTTCATCCTGTTAAGCTAAGCAGATGTGCTCTTTTCCCCAGGCAATTACTCATTTCATTGTGCTGGTTGTAAAACTGGACATGTAGAGAGCACAGATGAGACACCATTGTCAGAAAACATTAAGCAAATTCGAACTCTGTGTCTAATAAATAAGAAGTGATCTTTTTATCACTAAAGGCTGATTTAAAAGAAAATCGAAAGCATAGTTGCAGGAGTAAATCTACAGGATATGTCAGTGTACATTTATATTTAAGATGTAGTATTATATTATATATATTATTTCATATATTATAATTAGATGTGTGTATATAAATGTGTGTGCATTTAATCCAGAAGCATCTATTTTAAACTTTGCTGGTACTGTACCACCACCACCACCCACATACGTTTATATTTAAATGGATAAACCCTCAAACCTTTTTATTTATATTTTTTTTATCTTTTACATTCTAGGAATCTGACTGACTGGACGCATTTGCTTATATGTGATTTCATTTTCTAAATGTCTACATTTTCAAATGGTCTTCTTAAATATTTCTCATTTGCCATTCGACTTTCTTCTTTCGTTCCTGAACAGTGTGGACAAGAATCTGAGAGTTGATTTGGCTATTGGTTTACATGACTAAGGAGTTAAAAAATCCTAAGTCAAGTTTAGAGGAAATAGCAAGTGTCTGTCTTCAACCTTTGAGTCATTTCTCTCCACGGTGATGTGGCAGAATTACATTTGACTTTTGCTTTGCTATTGCCTTTGTCGGGGATGCATTTAAGGGGGCAGATCACGAGGCTAGCAGAAGCTCTGGATGTGACTCTGAAAGGAGGAAGTATAAATTCTGTAGGTCACAGATGCACTCTGGATGAAAAACAAAAGGCTTAGGATGAAAACTAAGCATTCTGTGGGGAGCTTAATGTGCCCAAAGGATTGGTTTACATTTTGAACACTGACAAGAATGATATTAGTCACATAAAGGTGCCTTGGCTCTAGCCCTAGTTTTTTAAAAAAAGAAATTGATGATGATTATTTAAAGCATTAGTTTCCACTACTTTTTTTGCAAATATGTAATATTTTAGATTAATATGTTCTATATAGGTCTTAGTGGATATGGTAGCCAGGATCCACCAGATTATGCTGCAGTAACAAACTCCCAAATCTCAGTGCTTAAAATAACAAGTTTATTACTCACTTGTATTGCATATGAGCTGTGGGTTGGCTGTGGGTGTCTCCTTTATTCCAGGGTCCAAGTTGTAGGAGGAGCCTCTCTCGTCGTCATTGCTGTATTTGTAGCAGAGAGAAAAACAGTGATGGTGGAACCATGTGATGACTCTTAAAGTTTGTGCTCTGAAGTGCTGTGTATCACTTGTGCTCACATCTCATTGACTAAAGAAGGTCACATCAGCAAGCCTGAAGTCAATGGGGTGGAGGAGAATCGTTTCACAGGGAGGAGGCCCTGAATAATCGGAACAACAGAACAATCTGCCACAGTGGGCTAATCTGAAAACTGTTTATAAACACATGTGGATTACATTTTCCTATGAGAACAAACTACCTTTAGAATACAACACATTTGTAAACAGGAATTAAAACTCCAAGCTAGTTTTAAATCCCTAGAGTGAGAGGCAAAGTCTTGATTGATTAAAATCCAATTATTTTGGTTTTATTTTTCTTATTATTCCTTCTACTTTAAGAACCAAGAGGCAAGTATGAAGAAAATGTCTTAAATAACCAAAACACTAGTTTGTAAAGATCTATGCACCCCTATGTTTACGGCAGCACTATTCACAATAGCCAAGATATGGAAGCAACCTAAGTGCCTATCGACAGATGATTGGATAAAGAAGTTATATATATATATATATATACACACACACACACACACAATGGAATATTACTCAGCTATTTTTAAAAAAATGAAATCTTACAATTTGCAACAAGGTGAATGGACCTAGAGAGTATTATGCTGAGTGAAATAAGTCAGACAAAGAAAGATAAATACCATATGATTTCACTTGTTTATGGAATCTAAGGAACAAAATAAACAAACAAAAAAAAAACTAAAGGAAAACAGACTCATATATACAGAGAACAAACCAGCGATTGCCAGAGGGGAGAGGGATTAGGGGCAGGGTGAAAAAGGTGAAAGGGGTGAAGAAGTACAAATTAGTAGTTACTAAACAGTCATGGGACTTAGAGTATAGCATAGGGTTAAAAAGAAAAAAAAAGTGTATTAACAATGGCAGATGGGGCAGGCGACACGTGACCCTGGGCTGAGGACTGTAAGCGGCCTGCACAGGGGTGTCTGGGAAGAGGGGCCTTTGAACCCAGTGTTGGCCCTCGTAGGGACAAGGGCAGGCTCCAGTGTGAAAGCACAACCTGGGCAGTGCCACAGCCACAAGTCAGGCGTGGTGAGAGAGGAATTTCCTTCTCCTTTTCAACTGGACCAGGTGTACCACACACAGCCCTTTCCTCCCCAAAGCATGCACCCACCGTGCCAGGGCCTGGCCCCGTGCTTTGACTCAGAAGACAAAGGAGAGTTCTTTTTATAGTACACAAGGTATCAGACTGTGTATCAGGCTTTTTATGTGAATACAGCCCTGAATGTGATGATTCCTGTCTTCATAAAGCAGCTTCAATGATATATTCAGAGTCTAGAAATTCAGTTCAGCAGCCTACACTCTCTGCCTGTGGAGAGAGCACGTAATATAGAAATCAGGTGCCCTGTTGTTGTTCCTTGATACTGCTAACCAGTCATGGCTGAGGACAGTCCCATGACTCCCTACAGTCAGAAGATCTGGATTAGCTCTGTGAATTAGGGCAAATTACAAATCTCTTAAACCTCATTTTCCTCATCTGTAGAATGTAAAAAGCGGTGGTAATAATGAAACCATTTTGAACATTCACCATGTCCCCGGCACTGTTCTAAGCTTTCTTCTGTATTATTCATGGTCTCACTTTATAGGCTTGGATCCTAAAGCATAGGGAGGTTAAGCAACCTGCCCATAGTTACACAGCTCAGAAGTGGCAGAGCCTGGACTTGAACTCAGGGTTTTGACTCTAGGTCATGCTCCTATCCTCTAGGCTATACTTTCCTCTTAGAGTTTGTAATGGATTAATACAGATAAAGAATACAAAAGTGCTTAACACACTGCCCCATTTGTAGCAGACAATAAATGGCAGCTAAGGCTGCTGTTATTATCTTTCTGTTTTTGGAAATGTGAGACGTTCTTTTCCTCTCATTGTGGCCAAAAGACTAGTTTTATAGGGCAGAGAATTTTCTGGGACACTGGAACTGGCTTCTGTGTTTACCCTGAAGTGCTATAGTGATTAAATGCATGGAAATGAGGTCATTAGAGGAGAATGAGATTTGCTTCACCTTATAACCTACTTACTGTTTCCCTCTGGGGGAGAGTGCCTGGTGTTCTGGAAAACATTTCCCTGAGTGATGATGCCAGGTGGGGGCTGAGAAAGATGTCAGGGGGCCTCATGCCTGGATGAAGCACTTTATCCTTGGGCGGAGCACTGGCTGGAGGCGGAATGGGGTGGGGGTAGGGGTTGGGGGGCAAGTCAGGGCAAAAAGGACCTGATGGAAGGGTCCCTCCCAGATCAGCTGAGAGCTGCCATAGTGAACTGGAGGTGTTTTTACAGGATAGGCTCTACTAAATTTCTACGAATAAATTTCATTGAAATGTCTTGTCTCCCTTTCCACTTCAGTAGCAATAATGTGGGTAGAGGAAGGGGCAGGCAGAGAAAACTCTGTAAGGATATGAACCAAAATACTAACTCTGGCGCTTTCCAGTGTGCATGTTTTTCTGAGTATGAAAATAACATATGGTTATTGTAAAATAATATTAGAAAACATTAAAGCATTAAATTTGCATTGAGTAGGAGAAGGGCATCATCAATAAATTCAGAACAGTTGGTGTCAACCTAAAGACATTCCGATTGTGTTCAAAAATGCACATTTTTGTTTGTGACCTAGGAAGAGAAAGACATTTATTATTCATCTTCCTGACTTTCCCCTTTCCAGATCCTGTCTCCTTTTTCACATGCAAATGGAATGTGACTCTTTTTCTAAAATCTGCAGTTTTATGACCTCTGCCAAATAGAATCATGGTCAACTCTCAGGCGTTTTACGATGGTTCCGATTACTTCCAAGCAGCTCTTTTGGGAAGCAAAAGAAATGGCGGGACCGGTTTTGGAGGTAGTGGAGATGGCCAAAACCTTTTCTCTGAAATTACTTAATGAAGACATTTATTGAGCACATATTATGTGCTTTGATTAGACCTCTTCAATCTGGTTAGTGAAAAGAGGTATTACTCAAAAAACAATTTCAGTAGTAAAAGGAGTTCAGAACTATCCAGCCACGTTCACATAATCAAATGGCTTTGAATGTTTTATGGCTTTCTAGACCAGTTTTTCTAATTTTAAGAGTCTGTTCCAGCCAGTAACCTGCTAAGTATCCAGCTGGGAGAAAGTTTTAGGCAGTTGATGGTTGAATCCTCTTTCATACCTTTACCATAAAGGACTAAATTGTTTCCAGTCCTCCACCACTCTCAGCTGTGGGAGGAAAAACCACTGTATCATTTGCCCATAAAAATCACACCCTCTTTTGCTTTTTATAGATAAATAAAAATGATCATTTTAATCAGTAGCTCTGTATGGATACAGCTTATGAAGGAAATCTAGACTCCGTCCATTACGCTTAATATCATGCTTTGGCAAAATAATTGTGGGGAAAACATTTGCTTTATTATAGCTCAAAATATTTTCTTATTACAGAATAAATTCACTACTTTTTCAAGCCATACCATGTCAACCTACCAAGATAAACAAGTACCATTCTTGTTTTCTACCGTAATATTACATTTGCCTAACTAGGAAAAGCTAAACTACAAAAACTTGTGCTGAAAATCTTATATCCCGAAGAATTAAACATATGAATACACAGAAGAGGTGAATCATCATATTTAAAATGAAATGAAAGTTTTTTATGAATTTAGAGAAATTATCGTTTATTTCAAAGACTGTGTGAACAAAGTTAAGAAATGAGTTCTATAAAGCACTAATCTCTTCCAAGTAGATGAGACTAAT